TTGCGTTTTTTGATAGTGGTAATGTATGTCTTGATTTAGTCTTTAAATAAATTACCATACTGTAGATGATGAATTTTATTACACTTATGAAGTGAATTTCATTGATTCATATCGAATACTTCATTCACTATAGTTCACTGGTCAGCTAGCTCTGTTGGGATTGGCCGAATTTGTTCTGCATTTGACCCGGTTAAACCCCGACATACTTCAAGTAGAGCAAGATACCGGCCAACTGTCAGTCTTCTACTTCAGATTCGATATAGATGACACAACAGGTAAAGTGCTAAAAAAAAGAGTGTAATATATTTTACAATGTTTATGCCTTTCCTTTTAAAACCTAGATAATCCCACAAAAATTCATTTAAAACAATGAATTGGACATTTAAAAGGATCAAATATGTTACCTTACAATGAGACCAGGCAGAATTTCTACTACAGAAATCCTCATATTGTTTGCCAGTATCTTTGCAAGAAACTATACAAAAAAAATTCTGTTTTGTCCAATTCCAAATATTTGAAATTGGATATTTTGGCTGGGTGCATGGCAGCCACAGTGCAGCCCAGTACCGAAATATAACAGATACATCGTCCCTTATTCTACCTAACTCTCATGCAAGAGGTTAATCGAGGAACAGAATGGCGACTCAAATTAAAACCCACCACTGGCCGGGTTTGAACCAGAGTCTACAGCCGCAAGAAACAGGAGGAACATCTCCTCGGCCAAACGCTCAAGGGAGAAACCTGTGCCTTTTTTCAGAGAGTTTACTCTATTTTTTGCAGGAGCAGCTTAGCTCAGCAGACTAATCTGGTGGTAACCACTGTGTGTGCACTGAACCGTGGTGATCTCTAGGTCCCCGGTTCAATTCCCATCGCTGCTCTTCTTGTGTTTCAGCTGGAGGGCAGAAATACAAATTACGATAGCGAGAATTTTAAGAATGAGAATTTTAAGCCGTTGCTCCCGTGTGCAATATGCCCATGTACACGTTAAAGAATGCAGTACACTCTAGGAAAAGAGTAGGGGATTGTCTGCCGGTGTACTGCCCAATCACCACCAGAAAGATCCCGAAGAGGTCTTCAGACTTCCCGGGTTATTCTTGGTGTGATTCACACCAAAGTACTTATTTATGTTTATGTTCACGAAAAACAGAAAATGTTTCTGAATATTTTAAATGTGTGATTCTATTTTTATTGTTGTTTACTATATTGTTTTTATTATTGACTGTTGCTAGGTGAACTAGATGCTAATAGACCTGTGCCATTTCGGCTGACACCAAACATAGCTGAATTCTTGACGTCGGTTGGAATAAACGGCTTACTCTCTGCATCAATGATATCAATTGCACGTTGTCTAGTACAGCCCAACTTCCAATTGGTTGCACTGTTGCGTGCAATACTGCGAGATGAAATGATCGCTTGGGATAAAAAGGTAGGAGCGATAATGCCACTCTTGTATTCTCATGCTCAACTTAGAAAAAACAAACTTTCAACATCATTTTCATATACTGTAGAATATGGAATTTATGATTTGAGATTTCTTCAGCTATATAAATTGTGTATGGTGTTGATACCATATTGAGAAGTGAATATGATGTGAACTTAAGCATGTATAGGAACAGCTTTAAAGATATTCTTTTATTGCCAAACAAAAACATAACAATTACACAGAAAATGAAAAACAAGACTAACGGAGCTGATTGGCAGAGACACAAAAGTGAACTAAATCACTATAACAAAAAGTTTGTGTCCCTCATCAATCCAGTTTTACATAAAAAATAAAACTATTATAATATATACGATTAAAATTGTTAATTAGAATAGATATATATTATAAAATAATGAATCAATATTAAATTGAACATAACTGTGGGATTGCATTTTTCAAATCTTTAATCTTGTGTTTACCAACTATACATATAATATAGAACTACTAGTAAATGATCTAAATCTGCAACTGATTTGACATGAGGTACAACACTATGCTACTTAATTTTGTGAACTAGGCTTGCATATTGAGTCTACTGCTTGATTCAAAGAATACAGACTTATTAAAGTCAGTTTTGAACTGAATGCAATAAATACTTTGAAAGAAAATCCCCCGAAGCCAGTATTAATCACATCATGGACATCTAGTTCCCTAAATACATTTTGATAAATCATTTCGTTCTAAACTAGATTTTGTTTTAGTATGATTGATAACCAACTGCTTGCTATGTAACTGTCTTTTTTTTTCCCTAAATTTATTGAGACCACCGTATTATATTTGACACTGGTAATTTTTCTTCGTCATAGAAGCAAGATGATGCTTTGCCGGCAGGTTCCCAACCGATGAACATGAAAGGGGAATTGCTGAATTCAACTGTTATGAGAGCAGTTAATATAATCATGACCAGGCTGCAAAGTAAGTCCCGTTGACAGAATTTGTATATGTCTTTTTATATTAAAGTTGTCTTACAAGCTTTACATCATTAGGATTTTCAAACCCACACACATTCTTCAATGCTTGTTAATATTCTGAAACTTGTTGCAGCACATAGCCACTTTTACATGTATAGATAGTGTTAGAATGTGTTGCAAATAATAGCGAGTCCACTCAAGCATCTCAAACTAGTGGCGTGTCAGTCGAGTTCACTCAAGCATGTCCAGCTAGTTCACTCAAGCATATCAAGCTTCAAGCTAGTTTACTCAAGTATGTCCACTTTTTCATTAAAAACTTTGTTCAAGGTGTCTAAACTATTGATCACTGTGATCACAACTGATTGTAAAAAGTGATGTAGTGCCATCCCGACACGACTTGATCACAAGTTGTAGTGCACTAAATCATGATTTACAACCTGTCCCAAGTAGTACACAAATTAATTTACAGTTTGTAGTTGAGTCTAAGAGAATGAGTAGCTTTATGAGTCATGATTTTTGTTGCCTTTTAGAAAAAAGAATTAACTTTAGCCACTAACATCTCCAGCTGTAGGCTTTTATTGCTCATATCTGATTTATTAATTTTAAGTCTATATTGTTTGGTTTTAAAAATTTTAAAAATTATTTAAAAAATAGATTGTAAAAAAGGTTGTACAGAGCTAATGAAATTAAACATTTTTATTTAATACCTCAAACTAATAAAGGGGAGGCAGGGGTCGTAAGCCAGATTTATTCTAATTATGTAAATTTAGCCTTCACCCTGGGAGAACACTGGGTAGGCCTCAACTTTATAAGATGGCCAGGCTAAAGTCTATCAATAATATTAATAAAAGTTTTATCTACTACTCAAAGTTAGTAATGAAAATTTGCTAATTTTGTTTCCATAATGATGCAAATTATGCATTTATCTGTCTGTTTGAACTCCTGACCCATAATTATCTTACAGACCTTGCTCAATTTGAAGGAGGAGAGAGCAAAATAAGCACGTTAGTAGCAGCCGCAAACAGTCCTGACAACCTATGTAGGATGGATCCAGCCTGGCACCCATGGCTTTAAGTAAGAGAGAGATTAGCTCTATAGTAACATCAGCAAATTACTCCCAACAACCTGATGCAGAAAGGAATCTAGCCTGGCACCCATGGCTTTAAGTAAGAGAGAGATTAGCTCTATAGTAACATCAGCAAATTACTCCGACAACCTGATGCAGAAAGGAATCCAGCCTGGCATTTATGAGTTTAAGCAAGAGAGAGATTAGCTCTAGAGAGAGATTAGCTCTATAGTAACATCAGCAAATTACTCCGACAACCTGATGCAGAATGGATCCTGCCAGGCACCCATGGGTTTAAGCGAGAGGAAAAGATTAGCTCCTTAGTTGCAGTACCAAATTAACCAGACAACCTATTGCAGAATGGATCCAGTCTGGCACCTACAAGTTTAAACAAGAAAGAAATATCAGCTCCTTAGTTGCAGCAGCAGATTAACCAGACAACCTATGCAGAATAAATCCAGCCTGGCACCCCTGGTCTTTACCGGGAAAAAGATTACTGTGGAGTTAAATGTGTACGGATACATGATAAGATATCCATAGATTTTTATAACATATCTGCTTTCAATGTACCTGATTAACAAATCTATGGTTGGCCCAAAAACTTTAGAATATATTTTACTGTTTGCATAACATGTGGTCATCTATTGAAGCATCCAATTTGGATTAGCTGCTTATTCTTATTTATTATAACACTGTTTAAAAAAAAGAAATTCAACAGTATTCTATTTATATTTGATCTGGCCTAATTTATTTTTTATATGTGACTTGTTTAACACAATAAACTTTAATAGAAGCAGCATTTTTCAACGTCCATTAGTACTGATTGTGCTTGAGTTCAGTTTGCGGTGCTATTTATTCTGACAATAAATGGTTGTTTAATAAATTTAACTATTTTTGTAAAAATCATGTTCAAAAACCTGTGTTCACAATTAGTTTGAATAAAATGTACATTAAATATGTGGATGATGACACATTTTAAGACATATTAATGCATCGGTACTTGAAGAATTTAGCTCTTTGTTTTCATAATAATCTCATATGAATACATCTGAATTTCTATGTTTTCATTTGTATATCCTACAATGGGGTTTCCCCTTTAATAAGGATGTTTACTGCGTGACTAAATGGTACTTGAAGCTTCTAAGCCCATAATAGTTTAGTCGTGATATTGTGATTGGTAATTAATTAGCTTTAATCATATTCCACGTAGCATGACTAAGGCAGTTTCTTAGCAAACTAGCGATAGATTCAACATTGCCTGTGATTACATTTTTGTACAAATTCAAGTTGGATGTCTCAATTGCCAATTTCACTTTTTTCCATATGCTCTTAATCGTTGATAATATAATGATGTATTTTTTAGTTGATTAGATAATTAATTAGCTTTAATCATATTCCACACAGCATGACTAAGGCAGTTTCTTAGCAAACTAGCGATAGTTTCAACATTGCCTGTGATTACATTTTTGTACAAATTCAAGTTGGATGTCTCAATTGCCAATTTCACTTTTTTCCATATGCTCTTAATCGTTGATAATATAATGATGTATTTTTTAGATGATTAGATAATTAATTAGCTTTAATCATATTCCACGCTGCATGACTAAGGCAGTTTCTTAGCAAACTTGCAATAGTTTCAACATTGTCTGTCATTACCTTTTTGTAGAAATACAAGTTGGATGTCTCAATTGCCAATTTCACTTTTTTCCATATGCTCTTAAACATTAATATAATTATGTAGTTTTTAGTTGATTAGGTAATTAATTAGCCTTAATCATATTCCACACCGCATGACTAAGGTAGTTTCATAGCAAACTTGCAGTAGTTTCAACATTGTCTGTGATTACCTTTTTGTACAAATACGAGTTGCATTTCTCAATGCCAATTTCACTTTTTTTTCCTATGTGCTCTTAATCATTGTTAATATAATGATGTATTTTTTAGATGATAGCTTATGTGGTCCTTTCAAATGAGCAATTTAAATTTGTATTTCAATTTTTTATGTTTGTTTGTCCTTGATTTGTGGGAGACAGTATATATTTAAAGAAATCTTAGCCCACTATTTCCGGTACACCTACATTCCATGTACTTTGCCTTTATTTTTCTGTGTTTTTTTAAATCTTCTGTTTAAGGTCAATCATAATATGTTAAGAAAAATATCTAAACTTTTTTGCCTAGGGGCAAGAATGAAAGTTAACAAATACAGCATGACAGAATAGCATTGAAGTATCTGCAACAAACATGAATATTTGTTTTAGAGCTAGTGATATTAGTCGAGGATATCTTTAAGTAAACACACAAAGTATTGTACAGTATTTAGATTTATTTTGCTCCTGATTTTAATGCGCTAGCTGTCGGTTGCGGTAACCGATCCAAAGTTATCGTACATATTTTGTCTTAGCAACTGTACCTAAAGGTCACTTAATATTAAGCCATTTGCTTCTGTCTGTTTCTTCATAATTTCATTACTCCTCTGGTGAGATAATATGCTGCAGTATCAGTGGCTTTGGTTTCAAGATCCGCATCTCTTTCAAAATTATGACATGTATTCGAAGACTCGGTGTCTGTTTGGTATTTCTTACCTCCAGTGGGAATTGACATCAACTTCATCTTCCTAGTAACTAACAAACTAACCGTTTATCCTAGTGAATTGTATATGTTATTATCAGTCCTTATAGTGATTATATAATTAAAAATAATTGTTTTTGAATTTTTGTTTCTATGATTAATTGATTCCAGTGAGTTTAATTGTTTTTATATTCGTAAACTTTTGAATCAGAGGTATAGAGACAAGTTGTAAAGGTGAATTTTATCAAAAGACTTGTGGTCCTCATCATTATTTTAGTACAGTAATAATGTCAATTTTTTTTTTTTATATTAGACTTTAAATAATGATAAATTTTTTTTTGTTTTTTTTTCTAAGTCTACTTTTTTTTTGTGAATATGTTGTTCATTACTACTTTTCTAATGCTTTTACGTCGCACAATTAGTGGGATGGTTTCCTGTGTGAGTTTAAGATGATAGAGTAATATTAAAGTGTAATGGTAATGGGGACCTGTCAGACATTGTATTGATCTCAGCAAAAGGGATTTGTGATTGATCTCTCCCGTCGGAAGCGAACAACTTTTCTGTTCACATAATTCTACGCCAAATATGCACACAACCCAGGAAATGAGAACTTTGTCTGATATATTGTACATTTTATTAGGAACATTAAAATGTAAAAAAAAAACAGTTTGGTTTATGCATTCTCATGATTTTAATAAAAGATAATGCACAAAATACCTTTTATGGTGCTTATTTTTTTATGAAATATGTTTTATGCTGTATAAAAACATCTTTTACACATTTGTTATAAAGTTCTTTTTTAAATTCCACCATTTGTTTTTCATATTGACTCATGAAACAAATTTCTTTTACTATGATAAATTTATCTAATTGATTTCATATTTTTTTAACATTACTTTAAAAGCATTATACACTGTAATATATGATTAGAATTTCCTGATTTTGTAAAAATATAGATTTGCCCATTTTTTTTCATCGTCATCTGTACAACTTCACTGTGATCTCTTGATTTACAAGTATTACGTGATTGCTGTATGTGCTCTAGCCCTGACACTCTAGTGGTCAGATTGACGAGCGTGTAATGACATTTCCTCATGATATGAAATGTTATTTTACGATTAAATCGACTGAAGTAGGATCACGTTGGTGAGTAACTAGAATCACCGCGCTTTTACGGACTTTTTAAGTCAATAATTATGATGTGTTATTAACAAATAGATCCATCAGAGTGCTTAAGCATAATCCAAAGTTACAACTCAAGAATTCTACTTGGTGTGAGCTGAATTCAAGTCTTGGTTTCTGTCTCACATTAGTCCATTATATAGGTGATTAAAGATATGTGGTGTTTTCAACTTTAGTCAACATGGATAGACGTCGCCTACCTTTCAGCATGGACATTTTAAGTGTGTATGATGATATAGCAATGCAGATTTTTAAACTTGGTAAAATTAATTTCATTAACTATTAGATTATAATTTAGCAAATTAATATGCAGTAGCACATCCCGCTGAAGTGTTCCTCATTATATTTTTTCCCAGTACCACAATGCCTAAGCTGCCTCCGCTCTCTACATCCGGGAGTATTTTTTGTTGGGCATGAATATTTGGCATACCTAAGTTGGCAACGGGCCGGGTGGCAATGGGCCGGGTGGCAAACGGCCGGATGGCAACAGGCCAGGTGGCAATGGGCCCCAAAATATTGTACATTTTCAACCTATCAGGTTCGTACTTATACTTCAGGCAGGTTGAGAGAGTCACAGATGAACTGAATTCATTATTCATGATACACCCAGGGGTTAATAGTTCTTCACCCAGGGGGTTAATAGTTCTTCACCCAGGGGGTTAATAGTTCTTCACCTAGGGGGTAAAAGTTCTTCACAGAGACATGGTTTTTTTTTGGTACGAAATCACAGGGCTGCAATACCCAATTCACATTCTGGTACAGGAGCCGACTGCTGGGGTGGCGCCTAGAGAACTGTGCAACTGCTGGCTATCTTGCACTGTTCTGAAATTTCCGATGCATGCTTGGCCTTTTCCCCACTGGCACTACATCTGATGCTACATGACTGGACATATTTTTCATATATCTCATTTCTTTTATTCAAATTATTATTGTTATTTTCATTGTTATTGCTGTTCTATTGCTCATCAGTGGCATAGCTACAGTAGGAGTCTTGAAATTAGGGGCGGGGGTCAGGGTTGATGGGGCACAAAGTTGAAGTTGGGGCTCAATTATTAGGTAAGGGCCATAGCTCACCAAAAAAGGTGTCTTGAGGTGATTTTTAACTACCTGAGCGTGTTTTTTTTTTTTTTTGGGGGGGGGGGAAATGGGGGCCTGGTAAGTGGGGGCCTGGTTGTTTAGTGTTATTCTTATTTTTATTATTACATATTCATAGTATTATTTTATTTGTGTTCAACACAACTGTGTGCAGATAGCACCTGTAACTACATGTTATTTAAATGCCAAACATAATGCATCAGCCAGAGAATTTTGAGATCATTGACTGCTAGAACCAAACTTAAGACCATGATCGTTAAATTCTCACTTCCTCCCCAGATATTAAGATTTTGTTGAAGGATAATTAATGCAAGAGAATGAGGAGGTGTCTGCAGCTAGGCCTACTTCAATTGTGTTATTTTGTTTCAAACAATGACCTAGCTACCTAGCTCTTTAAGTAACTTGAGATATTGTAGAGTAACTGACAATCAATTTCCTCCGCTCTTAGGAAACATCATTTGCGCCGCTTGATGCAAATGCCGATTGCTGATCAATACCAACTATCATCTGCCGGCGGCAAGGTTTGCAATCCAAGTGCTGACTTTTGTTAACAAGTACATGTTTTACTTTACATACATGTACACAATGCATAATACATACATGAATAACATAAATAAATACATACATACAAAAATGCATATTATTCAACTAAAAGTTATGTTTAGATGTCATAGTCATAGGATGTGAATTGGAGAATGAAAGATGAGTATATAAGCCACCGAGTTACATATCCGTGAAGATTTGACAGATCTCGGCCAAGCATACTCCATAATTTTTATTTCTTTTTAGGTTAAAATTTAAAAAGTTATCCCCAAACTACTGTAGATATAGATCTGTCTACCTTCTGGCAAGTACAGACATCTCTAATGTGAGGATTATGTAAATGATAACACTGAGAATGAACTAGATAATAAAGTTGATGGTTTTTTTCAATCGAAACTAGCGTAGAAACTTATTTTTTACATTATTCTAACTTCTGTTGATGAAAAGTCTTGGATATGATAGTATAATATTTATATGTTGTTTCCCATTCAACAGCAACAAAAGTTTCTAACAAACAATGCAATAAGTCCATCAATTATGAACTGAAAGATACAGTTCAAAATTTTATAAAATTAATTTATTAAAACCATTTATATAATCAAATATATTCTTGAAACTACCCAAAGAAAGAAATGGACTAAGATCAGGTAAGCAGCATCCCTGCATGTCCTGTTTGTCTGCATTTTGAAGAACCCTGTTTAGTGTAGGAGCATAATTATTATTAACTAAATAGAGAGTGCAGAATCAAGAGGAGAATATTTCTTTTGTCAATATTGCCTTGTGGCTTTCTCAACTGAATCAACTGTCTGTCTGTATTGATTATAATTTGACTGAAATGCTTTACCATCTGTTAAAGCTATACCATCTGCTTTCATAAACTTAGAAAAATTAAATTCATTCAGTGTTCCATTTATTCATTAATTCATTCATTTCATCCATCCGTCCATTTATTCATTCATTCATTCAAAAAATCAAATTCTCAAGTGTCCATTCATTCATTCATTCAAAAAATTAAATTCATTCATTCGTTCGTTCATTCATTCAGTTCCATTTCATTTCATTTCATTTTTTTAAATATTTATTTATTCATTCATTCATTTATTGTTTATTAAAGGATTACTCTGCATGTATTCCTGTTATATTCAATACATTTTACTACCAAATAAGAAGGAGCATGCTCTACAACAGCCAATCACAGGCCAGAGGACTGCAGCATGTCTATATTAACAGGAATAGAAGGTATGAACATACCTCATGTTGAACGGCCACTTTAACTGCTTATATTTTATAATTCTAGTGAGTTATCAAGCCATCCTATTTGTTTTCCATCACTTAGCGTTTCATTAGGTATACCTTTAAGCCAAATACATAATAAGTGAACTTATTGTGTGTTTACATGTGTGCTGCGTGTGGTATGTATGCATCAATTGAATTTGATAAAAATTGACTGACTTACTAGGTCTCAATATATATATATATATATATAATGAATAAATGTAGTTGGCAATACTAGCAACGTATAGTGCTCGATACACGTGATAATGCAGAGCGTATATATATATATATATATATATATATATAATAAATCATCAAAGAAAGGTAAATACAGTGTTTAATAAAGGACAATAATACATCGCGTAGCATAGCTCTCAACGAATGTAGTCTTGCAAATAAATGAATAAAGAAAATGTGTAATAAAATGCCTCTGGCGGGACTTGAACCTGCGACCTCTTGCTGTCAAGGCGAGCGTCATAACCATTAGTCCACGGAGGCTTCATGGTTGAACAGATTCAAATACCACCAGATACACTCCATTATACAATAGGTAGAAACAATATTAGGTACATATTTTATAAATGCAGGACTACATTCGTTGAGAGCTATGCTACGCGATGTATTATTGTCCTTTATTAAATACTGTATTTACCTTTCTTTGATGATTTATTATATATAATTTAACAGTGTTAACGGCTATCTTGATTTATATTATATG